CACACCTTTTGCCTGTCTCACCATCTTCCCACACCAGCGGGCCAGTAAGTGGCAAACTCCAAAAGTCATTGGGGCCTGCGCGATTACGCTCTGGAACTATCTCCGGGCAAGTTGTGTACTCAACGGTGAGCTCTGTTTTTCCACTGGCCACTGGTCCCGAGCGCTCAGCCCACATAAGGCACTCCATGTTCCCAAATCGCTCATCTATAACAATCGCCGTGGGTGAGATCTCGACGGTTCCGCCATCGTTGTCGTCCCGGATATATGCCTGAGAAGATTGCTTTTGCATGCGGGTGGGGCTAGGTTCATGCCAATACCAAGAAGGGAAGCATCCCGCGATGAAATTGAAGGGATGCGTGGTTGCTATGCAGATGTTGGCCGTAACCCCGAGGCTACCTGCTTGGGCTGTTGCTGTGGATTGCCTTGCACAAGATTCGAGACAACCCTAAATCCTAAACCCCTAGACCCTAAACCCCTAAACCCTGGACCCCTAAATCCCTGAACCCACAAACCCTAAACCCCTAAACCCACAAACCCTACAAACCGCCGCCATGAATCTGTTGTCTCGGAAGTGGAGCTGGCAATGGCCGGGTCTGCATCGATCCCGAGCTGCACAACCTGAGTCGAGATGAGGCTTGGAGTACCAGAGAAGACCATCCTCTAGGAGGGCGCATAATATTCTCTAACTATTACTATGACTGTTACTGCTATTATTGTTTTTATTTTTACTGTTTTAAGCTTACTATTCCTTTTACTATTTCAGCGATGGTGAAGGTATACAGTCGCAGTCTTCGCTTCAGATTCAACCCATTCGAAACGTTAGACAGTCGTACACTACGCTGCAGAAGCTTCTGCCGAAGGGCGGGGTGCTGCACAGGTATGAGACAATAACAGGATTCCTTTCTCGGGCGTACCAGTGCCTACCACACCTAAAAAATCAAGTCATGCCAGCAGGAATGGAGCCACAGGCAACTACTTGTTGCCTCCATGACAAGCTCTCGTCCGTAAATCAAGTTCAGGTTGTAATTCCAAGGACGAGTTTGGAAACAATCGTGGTCTGTTGAAGCATGAATGAGCTTCGACGGGCCAATTGATCGGCTGTAGGACGTGGGGCTGGCTTGAAGTTGCGCGGTGTTTCGCTAGGAACCTCTGTAAGGTTTGATGCAGAATTGCGTCCAGTGTCAGATTGTTGATTGTTGTGGCTGCATGCACACTCTGGTCAGACAAAACCTTGGGTGTTGATGATGGCTCGGCCTGAGGCATCGGGCGAATTGCACACGCAGGTATGACAGCATCCAAATGAAACAGCCTGAAAACTTAAATCAAGAGATATCTCGCCGCAGGTTCATAAACCACAGGCTCGAAGCTTTTGTGAGGTCATAGACGTTATTGTCGTATATCACAATCAGCATCGCCTTGGGATCCACATCGCCATCCTGCCACGTCACGGAATCCTGGTAGAAGTCGAAGTCAACTCCTGTGGGACGCGTCCATAAGAACGTGGGACACATCCTATACCGGAGATGCTCATGAGAGTACATTTGCCCAGCTGTCTGGATATCAAGATAGCCGGCAGCGAATTTCGCATTCCGGAAAAGCGGATCTCGTCTTCTGTGCTAACGAAACCTTTCCGGACGTCTGCGCGCGGTGCGTGGTGCAGTGGGCTCATAGCCAAACTCCAATGACACGAAACACATGTGAACAAGTATACCATCACCCCACCCACCTCAGGGACACGATTTCGGTAACCAAGCCGATGTTCTTGAGTCATAACGCACGGAAGTTGAACGCTTTTGAGACATATTTGCCGACAGGACCATACCGCAACGCATCACTTTGACGCTGCGACTCTCTGGGCGCCGAGCCTTCGGTTGCATTCGTGCCCGGGAGTATCGTCAGCCTTGCGGTGACCGTCCCGTTACTTCCACCCGATCGGCCCAAGCCAACATAGTCGTAGTTGCAGCAGCGGAAGTTGTAGAGGAATTGGCATCCCTCGAGTGCATCCACTTGCCTGGGCAGGAACCTGACAGTGCAGCTCGAGCATGCACCCAGAAGAGGACTACTGCAGACTCCAATATCCCTTACTTAAGGAATATGAATATATATATATATATATATATATATATATATATTATACATATATATATATATAATCATAATAGGGATCCTACTGTAATCTAAGGTATATACCGCCGCAAGAAGCCAAGTCTCCCTATCTCACCAGTCTGAGCAAGTGCGCCGGGCAGAATCAGGTACAAGCGCCAAAAGCTCATCGCCCATGGAAACTTTTCTTCTGGTTTCGAAGCTTTGCTTGGCTGTCCGCTTGTATAGATCTCCCATTCGGCCGTAGCTGTGCCAAACAGCTCGGTCTGTGCATGGCATGTATACAACTTGAACACTTGCAAGTTGAGCCCAAGATCAGGCAGGCAATTGACAATGATGCTCTCCGCGTTCGAGTCGGTTTACTCCAATCCCCCGCGATGGACCGCTTGCCATTTCACCCCGCCCTCAACAAGGCCGGCTACAATGTATCTTCAGGATTTGAAAGAAGTTTCGGCCACTACTGTTTGGGCCTTTGCAGGCTTTGGGAGGGTTCCTTTGACGGAGTTTTAATTGTAGAGAGCCACAACTATCGCCAGCTTTCCCCCTGAGGCCGCATTCGCACCTGCAAGAAACATGCGAAGTAAGATCTGCTTGTGCCCCGAGTGGGCGAGCTGTAGGGACATTGACCATAAGTGGGGTGGGTCCCTTATGAAACCCAAGAGCTTCAGCGCTGTTGCCCAGAAACCACCTCTTCGCTGCTTGATATGGTTGTCATTACTGTACAATCATCGCCGCTAGCATAAACCCCCAGCTCTGAAAGTCAAAACGGCTCGATTAAGATCGAGCGCAAGAGTGGGTGGGTGCCCGAAGAATACTTCCAGAGATGCGGACAAACACATATACTTGAGACTGCGGGCAGCACTTGCGCGGTAGCTCAAAATCCAAAAGGGAAAACTGTGGCCTTTCAAACTCGGTGGTAAGGCCGTTGCTTGTGAACTGAGTCTATGCCGTCCGTCCCCGTGGCGATGGAAGTCACCAGCGGTGCGGCAGGTATCTGCGCAGCCAGCCGGAGGTTTTCAAGCGGTACGTTAAGATTCCGAGCTTGTAGAACACCGGCAAGATGCGGGGGCCTGGGTTTGACTTGCCGCAGACGCCATCACCTGGCATGTCAGAACAGTGAGAATTGCTAGGACCCAGCATGGCAGAAACATTCAAACAATATACAACATTGCACAGTATCACACTATAGTAATTCCCGTATAGAACAGAAACGATTAGAACACAACATAATATGATATAATATAACACAGTATGACATAGTAGAAATGATATAAGACAAATCAGTATAATAGAAATGATGTAAGACCACATAGTATCAAAAAACACAATAACATATGATATATAGAAATGTAGTATAATAATATATAGCATGATAAGGTATGATATGATGCAATACAATATGACAAATACAACACAATATGACACAATATCATATAATATAGAAACATATAGACCAATATCATATTATATATGATGTTATATGATATTATATCAAATTATGCTATACTGCATTATATGCTATTACATCGCGTTCTTATCGTATAGTATAGTGTATTATCCATGAATCAGGCCGGCTGCTCCGGCTGGACGCTGCACTGCGTGCCGAATTCGGCTGTGCTGCAGGATCCTGAGGGGATCGTTGGCCGGGTAGGCGGTCGAAAGATTTTAAGTTTCATAGTATAATACGATCTAATACCATATACTGAAATATGATAGTATAATAGGGTATAGCACACAACATAGTATAATCTAATCCAACAGCTAGTCACTTCCAACATAAATTGCTGCAGTATTTGCGCAGCCAAAACTTTGGTTGAAACAAAGGCTTCCGCAGTGACAAACTGTGTTGCGCCGTCCTCCAGAGTCACCTATCATGTGCCTGACCTGGCCATGTTCAGCGATGCAACGTTCAACATCGAGTGTTTGCACTGTGCAACCTCCAACGACGAAACATGTATTCTCGCCGGCAAGCAAGTCGGCAGCGCCTTGAACAAAGATGCCCAGTTGCAAGCAGCTTCGCAAGAGAAGCTCTGTGCCCGAAGCTATGTGATCTGTTCTGTTTTACTCTGTTCGCTCTGCGCTACTGAGCTTCCTGAGACCATGCTTGGGCTCCCGAAGATGAATTCTTCAACCAATAGTAATAGTAGTAATAGCAATAGCAATAGTAATAGTAATAGTAATAGTAATAGTAATAGTAATAGTAATAGTAATAGTAATAGTAGTAGTAATCGTAATAGTAATAGTAATAGTAATCGTAATCGTAATAGTAATAGTAATAGTAATAGTAATAGTCATAGTAATAAGCTCTGGTCCTAGAGGTGCGGTGGAACACCTTCCACTCTGCAAGGCTGACCGCAAGTAGAGTGCTTCTAGAATGGCCTCGACTGACTTACCGTGCTAAGACCTTGCCTGGAGCCATTCAATCCAGCAAAACGGCTATATAAAAGCGAGAATGTAGGCATGCTGAACATTGACAGTGTCTCGGCTTTGTGGCTCCAAAGCAGAACCTTCTTAGATTTTCCTTGCGTGTTTTTGCTCCCGGTCTCACTAAGTCTCCACTCCATAGGCTTCCAGCTGCCTTCTCTCGCAGCTTTGCTTTGCCGAGGTTGCTCCGCTACGAAGGGGAATGTGGTGGCATGGCAGTCTAGTCAGCAAACACCAAGAAAACGACATGTAGTTTCGGAGCGCTTGCTCGTTGACGCAAAAATCGCTGCATTGCTTCTTTTTGCCGCTGACGACGGAGGGCTTGGAGCCTCAGGATCTTTTCTGCTGAATGGGAGTTTCCGAAAATGGAGGACCCTAATCTAGTACCCTAGATAGCAAGGTCCTTATTCTGAGGACCCCAAAATAAAAGGTACCGCTAATTTCCGGAACCTCCTAAATCCATCCTCTATCGCTCACAATTCGAACAGGGCAAACTCGGTCCAGTCCTTCACACGGAAGTGCATTGCGGAACACCTCAACTCGGCTCGGCAGTCCTCGTGGTTGATAGGGACAAGCTGGCAGAGCTTCCTGTCTGTTCTCACTGCTACGGTGAATTTGAGAAACACTGGTCAGAATTGTCTAAACCAGCCAAGACTACCCTGCCGTAGAAAGCCCTAAACGCGAACATCAACAAACATCCCAAATACTGCCGACTGCAACAGGTGCACAACGCTGCTGGACACGCAGTTGGCTTCGGTCAGTTTCAGCGGTAAGTACTCGCTCCAAGCGCTGAAGACTGCAAACTAGCATTGGCCTCAAATTGAAGGGCGCCAGCGAGAAGTCGTACCTCTCTGAAGGTTTCACTCCAAGCCGTTGGTGTGAAAGCAGGAATAGGAATCAAGCACCATAGCGTGCATCAAGGCTTTATACAGCACTCTCCGACAGAGACTGATATTTCGAGATATTTCGAGCTTCATCCAATTTGCTGCCGAGGCACGGAACATAATGGGCATGGTGCCCCTTAGAGGCCCCAAGATTGTTTGGAGCTCCTCTGTGGATGTTCGTCACGAGGTACCTGCACAGCCGGATGGCATGCCAGAACAGTCTTCCAACGACGACTCAATCTTTCTTTGCCGTGCCTGGATGATCTTCGGAAGCATTTCAATGCCTGCACTGCGTCCTCCACGAACATGTGGTTCAGAGTCTCCTGTCTGCTGCGACAAGGCAGCAACTCCGCTTCAAGTCAGCCCGGGTATCACGGTGGGGCCTGTAGATACTGCAGCATCCGAATGCTTTGATGGAGACTTGTGCACCACAGGCCCAACCTGGGACAGCCCTGCTTGGAGGTTCATGGGTAGTTATAAGTAGGGTAACTATACTTATAAGCCATATTAGGGGACTTATAACCCTACTTATAACTACCCCTGAACCTCCAAGCAAAACAGGCCCAACCTGGGACAGCCCTGAGCGATCAGATCCTTGGAGAAGACCACGTCTGCTGGCGGGAGCTCGACGTTGGAGCTGCAGTCCGCCGCTAGGAATCTCAGGGGCTTCACTCTGTAACCAAGCAATTTCCAAGCTGGGGAAGGCAAAGTTAGCATACTATGGCATATTATTATAGTATGTGAAAGTATATTCTAGTAGATTATGGTATGTTCTAATATATTCTAGTACATTATAGTACCGGAGCTTCCAGGAAGTCGGGCAGGTGCTACTGTGTCGTAATAACCGGAGGCTTCCTTGTCATGGTTTAGGGTTTAGGGATAATGTATCGTTTCCCGAGTCACCCCAAGCTCTGGCCTGTGGGATGGAAAACTCCGCTGGTTCTCCTGGGACTCGGACTCAGTAATATTTGTCGCAGGTTCGCTTTCAAGACTCTGTCAGAAGCCGGGCCTCAACCACGTGCTGCACTATGTCGACACCTGTGTACTGGACCTCAATTAGATCAGTAAATGCACGATGCAAGTTCGTGGTCGCCCTGGACCGCCCCGGTCAAGTAGCTTAGCATCGGAGGCTACAACGCCTGTGGAAGTAGCACCAACAAAGAACTAACTGCGCTACAACGCATGTGGAAGTAGCAGAAACAAAGGTATAGTATAGCAGTGTGCTCGGGTGCCGCCAGCTGCTCTCGCAGCAGCAAAGAAGCGCACAGGCTTCCGGATTCCCTGCATCCACACAGCCGATTCACTGCAGTCAAGATGCAGACCTCCTCGACAGGACCGCTGTGACCATCCTGGCCACAACACAGGCTCACCAGCAAAGCACTTCGATTCTGCTTTGCCGGCCCAGTTTCTGTGATTGTAAAGTGTAAACCCTGGATAACAACAGAAGCAGCATGGGCAGGCCAGGCTGCGTCGCCGCAGGCCGCATCCAAAAGTGATCGAGCTGCCAACCTTACAAAATCTCTGCCTAAATCCCAAGCCCTGAGCCCTGAACCCTAAAGCTTGACTTCTCAAGAAACTTTGGAGGCCGTTAGCTAGCAGAAGTGTCGCAGGCCGCGCCGGGCCCTTTCAAGGAATGAAACGAGGAATTTGCTGCTGCCACAGCTACAAGTCCAGAGCCATGTCGATTGCAGTCACTGCGATGCGCACCATCGGATGGAAGGGGTCGGACCTTGACCAGCACTTTGCTGCTCCACTGTAAAACCAAGAAACACATTCGACGCGACAGAAAGTTGAACAAGTCTTAAAGTGCAATCCGCATTTGTGCAGAGCCTTCCGGAAGGCTTCGAAAAAACTACCCAAGGAGGCATCACTTCATACTCTCCCCAGCTAGCTACGGGGTTCGATTGTGAAAGTAGACGAGCCATGGCTTCATGTCGGTCAAACAACTGCATCTACCATTGCCCCTTTCCGTAGTACACTACACGGCCATCGTTTGCAACTGCCACCAGTTCTCCTACTCTGATGCTTTTCTCCTCTTTTCAGCCTTGTGTAGGTACGGCAGAAGTGTTGAGGAAATCCATATCACACTTCATTATCATGGCACGAGATGTAGTAGAAATTGCTACTACCAGAGGCCAACTAAGCAAGCAGTCTGGGCTTAGCCTTTTGCAGTAGGCCGCAGTTGTGGAGCTGGCATCAAAACTCCGCACGTTTTCATTTTCCGCTGGGCACGCAGTTGGTTTCGAATGTGCCGAATTGAATGATCTTTGCAGACACGGGCGGTAAAACAATGAAGCAACCAGGCTTGCACTTCAAGTCCTGCGAAACTGCCCTGAACCCTAAACCCTAAACCCTAAACCCTAAACCCTAAGCCCTAAACCCCAAACCCTAAACCCGAAACCCTAAATCCCTAAACCCTGAACCCTAAACCGATCAAAGCTGAGCACATTCCGTTTCAGCCTTTCTCAGGTCACGCTCGGCCTTGTACTCTCTCACCTGAAGGCTACAAAACGGTTTAGGGTTTAGGGTTTAAGGTTTAGGGTTTAGGGTTTAAAAAAAGCTTGCGAAATCTGATACCAGAGGTGAGCGCCTCTGCGAAACTATGCGAAACAAACAACAACTGAGTTGACAGCTTCTCTCCAAGTGCGGCAGTAGGACTGCCGCAAGGCCTCAAGAAGGGCATCTGCCTGGGGCCTACTATAGGGTCCTTAATAATTAGAATAGGATTTTGGGGGCCATTATGCAAATATTGTAATAAGGACCCCCGAAATAGGATTGGTAATTGTATGTAATTGTTGAGGCCCCCTTTTGTATGCATCGCCAAGACATGGGCAAGTCGGGCTCGCGCCTGCAGAGTGCCTTCAGCATCCGCCTGATCCCAGCGCCTCTGCACCTGTGGCTGATCCATGTCACTCTCTGTTTAAGTCCGCTCCGCCTTCTTTCTGGCCTGTCAGATGCAACAACTTCAACAGGCAACGGTTTAGGGTTTAGGGTTTAGGGGTTTTTGGTGACGATGCATGTGTCAGAAGACGCACTCGCAAATTCGCTCCATCAATGCAGGGTTTGGGGCTTAGGGTACAGCGAACGCGTGAATCTCTGAGCGGTCCCGCTGCCGTATCCCCAAAGAGGCCGGCGACGGTCGCAGCATAGGAGCGACCCTGCAGGGGTTAGACGACTGGGTAGTTGTTTCAGATTTCGATTTGGGTCCCTTTCCTTCAATTAGCTTGCTTCTGATCGGAGTGACATGCTTTGTTCGAAACCCCAACTAACTTTCGGACCCCGAAACAGAGAACTACCCAGGCTGACGGCGAGATAAGTCCCAAGCCTTGATACTGGCAACCAGCGCGCTGCCCTTCTCGGAAACCAGGCTGTTCGGCACTGTCCGTGCTTGGTCCCACCTGAGCTCGGAGTGTCGAAAGAGCATGGATGAAGGGCCAAGTGGCACTTTGCGACTTCACGTGACCAGTTCCGAAAATTCGGGGATACCTTATTGTGGGGTCCTTAGAATAAGGCTCCTACTCTTTTAGGGTACCATATTAGGAGGACATCTTGTCTCTGGCCTGAACTTGGCACCACACCAGTCTATGAGCGATGCAAAGGAAAGTGGTCCGTCGGCCTGCCACGCATGTGGCGATTCTAGGACGTGGAGTGTATGTGCGGAAAGGCATGAGAGAAAGAATGCTGATGTTGTGACACCGAGCGTCTTTTCTGGCTCTGCTAACACTGCTGGCTGACAAGATTTAGGTGCCAGCGACTTTGCGTGGTGTCTCTACTCACTCGAAGGTCTCGCTGACCGGTGGTCGTCTCCTTCAGCGGCCAGAAACAATCAGTCCCACGAGTGAGATGCGTAATGCGCTGCCTGTGGCTGTGAGAATCCTGGCGCCGTTCTATGACTGTGACGCATTGCCATCACATGTTCGAGGGAAAGAAGCTGATCTCAGCAGCTTGCTCAGCCAGTGCTTCCGCGCAATACTACAGGTGCGATCGGGTGCGATACACACGCCAACTGGTAGCAGGCACCTCATGACCGGGATCTGACTAGTCTGTAGCCTGTGCAATCGGGGGCTGTTTCACGCAAGACATCAAGAGACATCATGAGCAAACCCTGTTTCCTACAGGAGACCAGTACAACAAGCCGTCCTCGGAGGGAGAAATCGTAAAGTTTCAGGCCATCGACGTCTTGCACCTGGAGCGCATCGCTGCGCAGTCTGGCCATCACGCAACCCAGAGACTCCAATTTCCCTTAATGAAGGAATATGTTTGTATACATATACCTTAATTAAGTCATAGTATCGATGCTACTATAATTTCCCTCTCTCATAATTTAGGGTATATTCCTTAGTTAAGGGGGCATTGGAGTCTCTAAAAACACGAAAGCCGCCCTTGTTTTGAACATTTCTCGGTTCAGGCACCAGGCGTCGCTCCCATCCGGGCACGTCAAAGAAGTGGCTCACCTGAACTGCCAAGGCTCCGGCAGTCCCAGCTCCCCTAAGCCCTAAATCCCTAACCCCTAAACCCCCAACCCCTAAACCCCGAAACCCCTAAAAACCTACGAGCTCCAGTCCAGCAGCAACCACCGTGAAGGCAAGCCTTTCAGCTCGCTTTCGCCAGAAAATCCCCAGCTCCAACAGGCCCCCCTTCCCCCCCATACTATATCCTTTTCATGGCTCTTATGATAGCCCTTATAGACCCTTTTAAAGGAACGCTATTCTGCTTCTTAAATCTTCTTAACCCCCCTTCCCCCCCGTCATCTCGGGCGCACCACAGCTGCATTTGGAGGCAGCTCCTGGCTCAATTCTGTGTTCCTTACCTTTGGTTAGTAGGGAATGGAAGAATGGTAGTGATAGTAGCTATAACTGTACCCCATTCCTCCATTCCCTACCAACCAAAGGTAAGGTTAGGGCTTAGGGCTTAGGGTTGCTGCTTAGGGCTTAGGGTTTAGGGTCGAGGGTTGGGGTTTAGGGTTTCTTCAAGATTATCCTGAAAACATGTCTGATGTCTTAGTCGTTCGTTACGCGCGGTGCTCGTATCCATCTATGTAGCTACCTATCTGCCTATTATACCTATCTACCTACCTATCTTTAACGATCTATCTATCAATGTTATGTTTGTGTGTATATACATATATATGTGTATATATATATATATATATATATATATAATAACTTATCTTTCATACAGACACATGCGGGCACGCGCATATGAAGGCAGCAAGGTATGTTTGCATGCCTGCAAGCATGCATGGATGGAAGGACGGAACGACCGAAGGATGGAAGGAAGGAAGGATGGATGGAGACCGTATACACAGCGGCAGTGGTAGCATACACGGCTATCTATATGTTTGCGCCTTAAACAACCTAACTGTATGTGTCAGTGACATGACATACTATAGGACGCCTGGTAGTTTGCCGCTCTCCCGCCAGTTAGGACTGTGCTCGTGACAGCGCCCCTAGCTTCTGAGCATGCGATTGAGAAACTCTTCACACATAAGACATACTATACAGCATCATCTTTTCAGTCTCACAGCTCATGCCTCATCCAGCTTCTTGGCTGCATGCTCCATGAAGGAGTCGCCAGGTCTTCCGTACACCTCATGTTCTCGCCGCCTACCACTTCAAAGGGGTAACGGAGGGACCCTTAATGGGGACCCCTACCCTATAATGGGCTATATATTGAGTATATAAAGGGTATATACCTAGGGGTCCTTATTAAGGGTCCCTCCTTTTACCCTTGGATCACTGCAACTTTAAACAGCCAGACAACTACACAGCAAAGGAGGTGGCTCTCACTCACTGACTAGCTACGGAGCTTCGGCGCTCATGACGACATGGAACCGGATATGCTGTGGCGGCGGCAGTCACGACATCAGCGTCTCGAAGATCCGCAGACCTTCGCAGCTCTCGCCAAGCCACCGTCGGGTTCAGGGTTTAGGGTTCAGGGGTTAGGGCAACGTGAGTTAAAGTAATTGTAAGTCCAGCATGTCTCACGAAAGCCCATGCTTTCACGAAGCCACACTGGACCACGGCGACTCTACGAGGCCTTCTCGACATGCTTAGAAAACACACACAATACAAAGGGATCCCAAGGACAACTTCAAGAGACTATGTTCGCAACAGCCAGAGGCATACACGTGCACTGCGCGTAAACAAACCACCATGCACGGACGTGAGTAGTGGAGCAGCACCAGAACTCTGTCTTTGGGCGGTATCTTTTTGACGCATTCTCACCATCGAAAACCAACGCGACGATGACAAAACGGCTGAGTTCCTGAGGCCAAGGCCAGACATTTGCCCAGCGCAGCTGGCCCGAACCCGGGCCCGCGCGTAAGGCGCGAAAGCAGCGGAGCCGTGACCAAAGTACCAGGTACCTGGAGTTCACTACGAACTGTTGGCAGAGCCGCCTCCCCCGACTCCAGGATTTTCATGTCCCAGCACGGCTGGAGAGCACGGATTCAGCTCGTAGCCGGTTGCATGCATCCTGGGAACATACTTGCTCTTCAGAGAGAGCAACCGTACCCATCCCAAGATTGAAGCAATGTCCATTTTAGCGATGCTACGATTCTACGATGTGCGAACTGAAGCGAAAGATTCTTGCAACCTGGTAGCCCGTGCTTTGCAGCAGCTGCAACAACACGTCCGTCGCCGCTGCCGAAATCCACCAGACGGAGTCCAGCTAAAGGTCCTCCCAACGATCCAGCGCAGAGTCCGTGCGCTCGCCAGAATCATCTGT